GAAATGCTGGAATTACCAGAGTGTGCCACTGCGTGCGCCACCTGTTGTTCTCTGCCCCCCTCCCACCCCCATTTGACACAGGGTCTCACTACATAGTACAAGGCAATCCCTTTGCCTCAGCCTTCCAAATGCTGAAGTTACAGGTGGGCGCCACCATGCCTGGCATGTGCCCAGTTGTTTTGTTTTGTCTTTTTGAGACAGGATCTCTCTGTGCAATTCAGGCTGGCCTTGAGCTCACTTTGTAGCCTAGGCTGGTCTCGAACTCGCAGTGATACTTCTGCTTCAGCCTCCCGAGTGCTGGGGTTATAGGCTCTTGTGCTCAGTTTTAATAAATTGCCATTGTGTCCAAAAAGGGAAAAAGAGTAGCTCTGAAAACTTTACATCTTTTCCAGTGCTCTGAACACATTGTTTTTGGTTGGGGACTACAAATTCACAATGGCTAATATGGCTTGGGATTATTATTATTATTACTATTATTTGTCGTTTTGAGACAGAGTCTTGCTATGCATTTCAGGCTGGGTTTGAGCTCACTTTGTAGCCCGGGGTGGTCTCAAACTCACAAGGGTCCTCCTGCCTCAGCCTCCTGAATTTTGGGATCAAGGTCTGTGCCACCAAACCCAGTTGAGGTTTGGGATTATTGCTGCCACCCATTTAAGATTTCCCATTCTTTTTTTTTTTTTTTGTCTTTTCCCTTTTTATCGGTCCCAGGGATCAAACTCATGACTGCCTGCTTACAAGGAGGTGCTTATGCTGCTGAGCTAAATCCCCAGCCCTGAGAGTTCCCATTCTTTAGGGATGAGTGATCCTCTCCCACCCACTGAGACTAAAACTAAAACAATAAAGACTAAAAAACACTCCAGGACAAGATCTTTTTAGCATAAAATCATTTCTGCCCTCTTCAGTCATCCTGAAAGAATACTTGCCCCTCGAATCATAGATAGGCCTCTGAGTCTTCCGTCAATTTTGAATCTTTTGCTGGCCTCGCCTACCACTGTACATGCCCGATAACTAGTGGCTGTCTTGGAGTGTGGCTCTCTTGGCTCATCTGGAGACATCGAGCTCCCAGTCTCTCATCACACATTACTAAGTTTATCTCTGTTCTTATTTTATCCTCTGAGTGTACCCTTAAAGCAGGTAATCAGGGCTCTTGGCTGGGTCCCTGATAGTTTTTAAATACCCCAGGTAAAAAAGGTAAATTTGGATTTGAAATCCACTTGATTATTTAAAAAATCATATTTGTCAATTAAAGAAAGAGAAAACTAGCTGGACATTGTGGGGCACACCTGTAATCCCAGCATTGGGGAGGCTGTGGCAAGAGGATCACCTTGAATTCAAGGTCTGTTTGGGCTACACAGCGAGATGTCTCAAAGAGAGAGAGAGAGAGAGACAGAGAGAGAGAGAGAGAGAGAGACAGACAGACAGACAGATAGACAGATAGACAGAGAAAACTAACATGGTGCCACACATCTGTAATTCCAGCTATCCAGGAGGCTGAAGCAAGGTTGCTTGTTTAGAGCCGGGCGTGGTGGCTCACGCCTGTAATCCCAGCACTCGGGAGGCTGAGGTGGGAGGATCATTGTGAGTTTGAGACCAGCCTGGGCTACAAAGTGAGCTCAAGGCCAGCCTGAACTGCATAGCGAGACCCACAAGATTGCACATTTGTGGCCAGCCGAGGAAATTTTGCAAGATTTTATTTCAAAATAAAAAGGGCTGGAGATGCAGATTGCCTCTAGGTTCAGTAACAGTATGGAAAGAATTTATCTGGATACTTTTTGGATCCTCATTTTTTGATTTTTTTGTTTTAGTTTTTTTTTTTTTTTTTTTTTGTCTTTTTCATTTTTATCGGTACCGGGGATCGAACTCATGACCACCTGCTTGCAAGGCAGGTGCTTATGCCACTGAGCTAAATCCCCAGCCCTGTTTTAGGTTTTTTAAGACAGGGTTTTGGTTGTAGTACACGCTGATCTTGAATTCCCTATGTAGTCCTGGCTGGTCTCAAAGTCACAGTGATCCTCCTGCCTTAACCTCCTAAGTTCTGGGATTGTAGGCATGTTCCTCCACACCCAGTTGGATATTTTAGTCAAAGTTAATATTTCATCTTTTTTTTTGTTTTGTCTTTTTCGTTTTTATTGGTACCAGGGATCGAACTCACGACTGCCTGCTTGCAAGGTAGGCACTTACGCCGCTGAGCTAAATCCCCAGCCCCAAATGGTTTTGTTTCTGTTAAAGTGGCCTAGGACTTTTTTTTTTTTAATAAGTGTTTTTGAGACAGGATCTTGCTATTTCAGGATGGCCTTGAATTTGATATGTAGCTGAGGCTGGCCTTGAACTCACTTAATGCCCAGTTTGGCCTTGAATTTGTTTTTTTTTTTTTTTTTTTTTGTCTTTTTCGGTACCAGGGATCGAACTCACGATTGCCTGCTTGCAAGGCAGGTGCTTATGCCGCTGAGCTAAACCCCCAGCTCCTTTTGGCCTTGAATTTGCAGCAATCCTCTGCCTCTGCCTCCTTAATGCTGGGATTTCAGGTGTGTGCCATCACACCAGGCTGAACTAGGGTTTCTGCATTGAGCCACATTCCCAAACCATTTTGAGATAAGGTCTTGCTAAGTTGTTCAAGTGGGATTCTTATTTTTGATTCTCTTATCTCAGCCTCCCAAATGGCTGGGATTACAGGTGTTTGATACAGCAACTAGTGCTTATAAAAGTGTATTTCATTTCTTTTAACATAAGAGGGGGCTGGGGATTTAGCTCAGCGGCATAAGCGCCTGCCTTGCAAGCAGGCAGTCGTGAGTTCGATCCCTGGTACCAATAAAAAGGAAAAAGACAAAACAAAACAAAACAAAACAAACAGAAGAATGTAATATATAGAAGTACAGTGAAGTTTTTCCTAGTAGTCACACAGACAGTCCCAAACCTGGTCCCACTTCCCCTCAGTGTGCAATTCCAACATTCCTGCATGTGTGAAGCCATGTCCAACACTGGAATTACTGTGCTAGATGTCTGATTTCATAGAGGGCTAGAAATGCAGCTCAGGGGCAGAGCACCTGCCTGGCAAGCACAGGGTCCAGTCCTGAGTTAAAGTCCCAGTGCCAAAAAACAAATGAACGAACAAACAAAAAAACCCACAATGAAAATGGAATACTGGAATGAAGCAGTCACAACTTGTTATATAACTTTGAGCCGCCCAATGAGTGAGTACATGGTAATCCATGAATGAATATAGAAGCTTCTGGTACATTATGTTGGTGGAAATAACAAGGCCAAGTATATGTTACCATTTTTTTTTCTTTTTCGTTTTTATCGGTACCAGGGATCGAACTCACGACTGCCTGCTTGCAAGGAAGGCGCTTATGCCGCTGAGCTAAATCCCCAGCCCCTACCATTTGTTTTTTAAAAACCGTTGGGATTAAGCTATAATTACGCTCGCGTACAGGATCCTGAGCGTACAGAATCCTGAGCGGCTAGGGTGGGGTCAGGAGCCAAGGGTACAGTGGAAGGAGCGGGAAGCTGAAGGCTTTGGCTTCGAACCAAGAAGGGCAACTCAGCCCCAGGAGAGCTGCAGCAAGCTCCGAATCCGGAACCCAAGGATCGTTAGGGTAGTTCGATCCCCGGTACCGATAAAAATGAAAAAGACAAAAAAAAAAAAAAAAGACAAAAAAAAAAAAAAAAAAAAAAAAGAAGTCTTGGCCGACACGGGGAAAGCTGGCTTGTAGGAGACAGATCAGAGGCACACAGGGAGGCAGGCTTGGGTTGGTGGTGGCTTTCAGGTCGCGTTCCATAGCCACCAGGGGGCGGGCAAGCCCGCTCCCGAAAGCCGGCAGGGCGGGGCGCCTGAGTGAAGTCCCCCCACCCTCCCACCCGGGCTCCGGGATGCTCGCCCAGAACCCCCCCCCCCCCACACACACACACAAATTCAAGCCGAGGCCACGTGGAATTTGGAGAGCCGGGTGTCCTGGAAAACCTGCCTGGGCAGGCAGGTTTTGGGGTCATCCCCAAAGCCAGGCCAACCCTGCTCCTCTATTGAGGAATCAGACAGTGGGGAGGGGGTCGCGGAGGTTCTAATCTTCAAGCACGTTTTTCAGAGGGGATTAGCCAGGGCATAGATCGTGACTGTCCCCATGTCACAGAACTTGGTTTGGTGACCCAGGGCGCACGCCCTGCCTGTCGAGCCTTAGAACCAGAACCACGGCTAATGGACCTGACCCAAGGCTTCCTCACTGCGCCTGGGGTGTGCACCCTGCAACTCCTCTGTGCAGCACAGAGCACCCCTCTCTCTACAGCCCGCCTTGCCCTCCCGCTTCTCGGGCTGTAGATGGGCCCTGCCGACAGACCGGCACTCCCTCCACCCCCTGTACCCTTTCCGAGGCTCTTTAGGCCCTGGACATCATGTGCCTGCTTCCTCCCGGCCTCTGGCCTTGCAGCCAAACTCAACAGCAGCCTTGGGTCCTATTGGCCTCCGACATGCACTTCCTCTTTGTATCGCTAATGGGATCACTACTCCAGAAACCCATTACCCCATCCTCTTACTCTAAAGATCTCCTTTTGAAATTCTGAGGGACCTACCCTAGAAGTTCCCTCCAATCTGCCTGCCCCTTCCATCCCAAGTCCTTCATGTCCTGCGAGGATGCTACAATGGCTCCCACGTGGCCATCCCTGTGTGCGCGTCCACTAGAACAGAAAAAGGGAAGGGCTTTGTCAGCTGCCACCCCCAGTGCAAAGCCTGGAGCTGGGGTCAGTAAAGCCTTGGTGAGTGAGTGGCTACTATGATACAGCTCCTGAGGTGCAAGTGTGCCCTGCCTCCACGAGGCCCATGGCTGGCACATGGGCTCTCCCAAAAACCCTATCCATGTACAGATGCAGAAACTCAGGCCCAGGAGGAGGAAGGGACAGGGCCGGGGCACCCGGAGGGCAGCAGAGCCAGGAGCAGGACAGCTGTCCCGCAGCCTTCAGCTGGCCCAGCAGCTCCTCCTCTCCGCATCCAAGCATGAGAGACCAGGTCCTTTGTTCACCGAATCAACACAGTTTATTACTGAACTGCACTTTCACCTTCACACAGACTATTTCAGAGCTGGAACAAGGGTGGGAGTGGGTCAGGGGAGGGACAGGTGCCCCTCAGAAGCTAGGAGCCCCGGGGCCAGAGTCCCCAGGCCAGGGCAGGGCAGGGGAGGGAGCATTAGGCCGCCAATCTCCGGGCACCAGCTCTCCACGTGCACGCGCACAGCAAGCCAGCAGCTCCTCACACATAAATACAGACACGCTTAACAAAAATAGTATATCATTTTCACAAGGAATAAAAACTAGTCTCGAATATGTACAGCAGAGAGCCCGGGGTGGCCAGTGCTGCGCTGGGGGCCCCAGGGGTGAGACAGGCTGCGGGTGGAACAGAGGGGAGAAGGAGGCCTGAAGAGCTCCTGGCCAGGCCACTCTGACCTTGGCAGCCCAGCTGCCCAGGCTGGACCAGGGCGGAGCACAGCAGGCCCCAGCCACCTCTCCCCTGCCCTGTGCGCCAGGCTCTCCTTCCTGTCCTTCCTGCCTGAGGTAGGGAAGACCCCAGGGCTCCCACAGCTGCTCCCTGTAGCTCCCCTTTACTTCTGGGCTGAGGCCCCTGGGCCCCACGGGCAACAGCCAAGGCCAAGACGCCACAGGCTGTTCTCCTTGCAGGAAGTGAGGCAGCTGAGGCCGTAAAGGGCTCTAGGGCACCTGTCTTGGGCCCAGTTGGTCCCTCAGTCATGGTCATGGGAGCCCAGGGAGGGGAGGGGGGAAGGGACCAGGCTGGTGCTAAACTGCAAGGGCCCCCTAGTGTGCCCAGGGGTGCCTCCGGCAGCGACAGCCCCCTTCCTGGATGGGGTTGGCCTCTAGCCAGAGGCTTCTGGAGAACATTCAGACTAGAAGTGGGGGCTTTGGCCAGGCCAGACATGGGGAGGAAGTCCTGGTCTTTGCTTCTTGATCCCAAGCAGCCTGAATTCCTAATTAGAAGTGGCCTCTAAATGGCTCTTGGGAGTGGTGATGGAAGGGAGGATGGAAGGCAGGTCCAGAGGGGGACGGGAAATGATCAATTCTGAGACCACAAACATTGAAACAAAGGCAAGTCTCTCGGGAGAGGTTCAGAAAACTTCAGCTCCCTGCCAGGAAAGCATCCTCAGAGGCTAAGGGTAATAAGGGTTCCCCCGACCCCCACCCCTACCCCAAACCAGACTCCATGGGGCAGATGCTAAGGAAACTGTATTTTGAGGCCAAGAAAACTGAGGTGTGGGGGAAGGCAGCTCTCACAGAAGCATGGTGGATTCTAGAAAACTATTTGCCAGGGACCAGGTCTAGACCCACCCTGGGATGGGTAGGTGGGCATGGGCTTCATGTAGTGGTTCTCCTGGTTGCAAATGTGGTGGATGGAGGGATGTGGTGGGACAAGGCAGGGGATGGGAGGGTGAGGGGTGGTCAGTGTCTGGTCATTTCCGACTGAAGAGCGAGCCCAGCAGAACCACGCCAGCCACAGTCACGCCCGTCAGCAACCAGCGGTTGAAGCGCTCCTGGCCCTTCCGGCTCTCGGCTGCTGCATTGTTCCCGTAGAGTTCCACAAAAGTGTCCTGCAAGGGAAGAAAACAGAAGGCACCAATGATTCCTCTGATGGTAACGTGTACGGGTGTGAGGGCCACCAGTATGTAGTGCCTCAGGGATTTGAAGCCACCACTGCCTGCTCTGGGCCAGGTAAGGGTCAAGGGCTGACCTCTCTTGTGAGGATGACCCAACCGGGTTTTTGTTGAGACACAGGTGCAGAGTGGAAGGAGGAGCCTTGTACCTCGTCAGACAGCTGGCAGGGTACCCACTCTAGAAACGGGGGATGGAAAGGGGTGGGGAGGCTGGCCGTGGGAGCAGGGCCTAGGTAAGCAGGGAACCACATCACTACAGCTGGGAGCCACAGAGGCAGCTGGAGTAGAGTCCGAGAGCAGTGCCAGGAGTCCACCTCTCTACTGTTCCTCCAGAGGGACGAGAAGGGACAACACACTTTCCCAGAGCCACTTGGGCAAGCTGAAGGTGTAGTGGGTCTTGAGCTTTTCAGCCTAGGGCCAGGGCAAGTTTGAGAGCAGGAAGGGCAGGCAGGGCTAAGACAGGACATCAACAACGCAGGGCTGGGAGGCTTCTGTGAAGGTGTCTATGAGGCCCTCCCAAGTCCCCCAGCCCGGGGCTGTGACTCTGGGCTCAGGAGGCCGCCCCAGGCCTCTGCCCTGCAGCTCTGTCAGGAGGAAAGCACATGCGGGGAGGGAGCTGCCCAGCCTACCCTTTAACCCCTGACAGTGCTCTGACGCATCTGCTCCTCCCCGTGCACAGACCAGCAAGCTAGCACCCTGAGGACCAAAGGGTCTGACCAATGTCACCCTAGTTGGGCCACCAAGCTTGGTCTATGGTGGAACCAGAATCCAAATCTGGCGCCCAAGCACCTAGAAATCAGTAGTGAGTGTGCTGTGGAATCAGCTCCCTCACAGGTTAGTACCTTTCCCAGACAGGACCTGCCATTTGCAGTTGGCCCCAGGTCCCATTGCCACATGCTCACTGGGAGCCCTGCCTGGCCCCACTTCTACTTGGATGAGGCCCTCAGTGCCTGCTCCATGCTTGGACCTCTAAAAACGTAGACTGGACCCAGCGCCCTGGGCTTGAAGTCCTTGGACAGCTCCCCTGCACTTAGCGGTGCCCTGGCATCCAGCGGAAAGGCCACGTGCACTCAGATGCTGACTGGACCTTTACCAAGTCAGCAGGGAGGCAGCAGTGACTCTGAGTCCTGACAGAGGAGCCTACCATCAAGGTGGGAAAGGGCTCTCCACCTTCCCCAGGCTCCTGCACACCTGGGATCAAATCGCTGCTCCTCATCTCGGCCAGCCAGGGTTAGTGTGACCCGTGTCCCCAACACACTTCACGTCACACTGATTTCTCTGCCAATCTGCTCTCTCTACTTCCCATAACCACACTGCATACTTGTTCTGTTGTGCTTTGTCTCTGAGAGTGGCGTCAGTGAGCACTGACCTGCTGTCTGGTACAGTCACATACTGCATGGTGAAGTCTGGGTCAAGGACACCTATGTGACAGTGGTCTCATAACATTAAAATGGAGCTGATGAATTCTTGTGTGATAGTGAAGTTGCAGCCCTGAGAAGTTAAAGTGTAATGCATCCCCCACATATTTGTGGTGACACAATGCAGTCATATACAAGTGTAACCTAGTGTGCAAGAGGGGATATGATAACAAGTGAATGTATTACGGGTTTGCGTATTTAGAATACTATTCTTTTTTTGAAATAGGTTCTCACTATACAGCACAGGTTAACCTTGAACTTGCCTGCCTCAGCTTCCCAAGTGTCTGAGTTAGTTATGCATCACTATGCCTAGCTTTAGGTTAAATTCTTGAAAAGATATTTTAATTGTAAAAATGTGTCACGCCTGCAAAAGAGTAGGTATATCACAAATCATCCACGCCTGTAATATCCAAGTACTCAGGAGGCTGAAGGAAGACGAGCACCAGTTGAAGCCCAGCATGGGCAATTTCTTAAGACCTCGACTCAGAATGAAATAAAGAGTTGGGGACATAACTCAGTGAGAGGGTCGGGGTCCAGTTCCCAGTACAGAGGAGAAGTTTACAACAGTCAGCTGTGTTAGGCTGGCAGCAGCTCAGGTATCTCGTGTTTACTGCGTCTCGATTGCAAGGCTTCTGTTGTGCTACCTTCTAGGTTGTTAAGTATAGTCTGTGACGCTAGCACAACAGCGAAATGGCCTCCCAACCCATTTCTCAGTGTGCAGCCCAGCTGTTACGCGATGCATGACCGCACGTGAGCCGAATAAATGTACTGCTCATCTCCTAAGCACCAGGCACTGTTACTACCTCTCACCTTTATCAGAGTCCACACAGGCAGAGCTGTGAGCTCCATTTCAAGGCAGGGAAAGGCCAGCCAAGACACAGCAGCGCCAAGGCTTGTCCTGTGTGTTCGGGCTGTATGGAGCTCAGGGGCAGAGCACATGCTTATCATCCCCAGCACTCCCCGAAACCCAAACAAACGGGGGCAACTGAGAGTGAGCACTGCAGCAGCAAGACGCTGGCCTTGTGCTGGGCTGGGGACTGTCCTGTCAGCACTGCTAGAAGGGTTCTGAGGAAAGCGGTGTGCAGCAGGCCTGAGGTGGAGCCTAAGATCTGGGCAGAGGAAGACAGTCCCTGTTCCCCCTTTCCTTGAACTTCTGTGGGTCCTGGAAAATAAGAAAATTCTCTTTTTTGGCACCAGGGGTCAAACATGACCTTGTGCTTCCTAGGCAAGTGCTTGAGCGCTGAGCTCAATCCCTGGTCCCTTAGATAGGAAAATGCTAATGGGAGGTTTTGTTTTTCTGTTCCCAAGCACTCACTCTCAAGCCCAGGGAGTGACTAAAAAGACTTATATGTAATGCGGAAGAGTTCCCTGGGCAGCACAGGGAAGTGAGGTCACAGCCAAACGTCCCCCAGGGAACAGGGATACTGCAGCTCTGCCAAAGCAGAAGAGGCCTGGCTCCAGCAATGAGATCTTTCTTTTTTTTTTTTTTTCTTTTAACCAGTACCAGGGATCAAACTCATGACCCCCTGCTTGCAAGGCAGGTTCTTATGCCACTGAGCTAAATCCCCAGCCCCTAATAGATCTTTCTTGAAGCTAAGGGTTAGCAGCCACAGGAGTTTTCGGCCCTGGGGCTGGGCTGGAGTAAACAGGCGCCGTCCCAGCAAGGATACAATGCATTCACTGTCCAGGAACAGACATTCCAGGGTGGAGGGGACATTTCAGGCCACCAAGAACAAGGCGCTGACAGGCTCCAGTCCCCACTCAAGACTTCCTGGCCAAGACAATCCCCACTCATTCCCAAGGGCGTGGGTTCTGGGGGCTGTTTCTGCACAGAGAGGCGAGCGGAACATTCTGCTGTCCCAGGGCGGGGGCTGGAAAGGCACACTGTGGGTATATTTAGCCCATGGTTCACACGACACACTTGGAACAAACAGCCATTTTCTCAGTGGGTGGCGCTGAGGATAAACAAACAGGACTGCACAGCAGCCCTGAAAAGCAGAGATAAGCCCCACTGCTCCTCAGGTGGCTCCCTCTGATGTAGGGAGACCTGGCAAGGGGAGTAGTGGGTGAGTATAAAGGTGGGGTGCACAGAGATCTCCTGAGGTCACAGAGGCTTTCAGGAGACCCAGGCCCGAGGGACGTCCTGTATCCTCAGAGCTTGGTTTCTGTATGAAGCTGACTGCTGCTGTGGGGATCCATGTGAGGGTTTTTAGAGCCACAGGGGACAAGCAGTAACGACCTCCACAGTGTCAGGGACTCCTAGCAGGGAGGACCCCAGGAGGTCAGCAAGGCCAACTCACCTGTCCATTCTGTAATTTCCATAGCCAATTCACGGGAGAGCCTCAACGAGGAACCTGGGACTCCCGATGGGTTCCCAGAAGAGGGACCATTTGCAAGGTCCTTCAGGAGTCCTGGCCACACACACGAAAATGCCCACATACTCATCCCTACATTGGGGTGTCTCATGTCTCATCTGTGTGCCAATGCTGTGTCCTCTAACTGCTTACCCTCCCCATGTTTTTCTTCATCATCAGCAAACAGAACTCACCATGGAGCTGCCTCCTCCCTGCTCACCATTCCTCCAACTCCGAGATGAACGTCTCCTCTGCATTCCCAGGGTCTCTCGGCTTTCATTTACACCACAAATTATTTATTGAGTATCTACTCTGCTCCAAGCCCAGCACTGGAGATTCGATAGTAAACAAGGCTTTGGGGAAGTTACATTCTAGTCCATTCTCGATGGCAGTCAGATGACATCCAATGGGGTGAAAGGAAAACTTTAGATACTGATTTACAGCTCTCCACAGAGCCACAGCACGTAAGAGATACACACTACAACTGGGGTACTCAAATTTCATGGGAGGGCAATTAGGACAAAAATGTCTAAAAAGCCTCCTTGGGGGAAGTGATTTAAAAAAAAAAAAATCAAGAAATGCTGTCCTAATGGGAAGCAGAAAAGATAATTGCAGAGAGGATAGGGATTTGAGGAAAGTGAGTCAGGCAGGGGTGACAGAGTAAGTGCCTGGGGACTGCTGTGGCCACGGTGGTCAGGGAAGGCCTAAAGAGGTTTGAGCAAGACCTGAAGGACAAGGATTAAGGTATCTTGGGTAAGGAAGAGCAGGTTCCACTGAGACACGTGCAAAGACACTGGGGTGTGCAGAAGAGGAAGGGTGCCTTAGGCTGAAGCCCCCTGCATGTGTGCCGGTCTCCCCAGTCTTGGGGATCACAGGCGGCAGGACCTCATCTGGGCAGGGCCTGAAACCTGGGGAACCTGGATGGCACAGACTACATCTCTGCCCAGAGGCAGCCAAGTGAATGAAAGGTAGTTCCTCTGCGGCTACCTAGAGAAGCCAGGAGGAAAGGCTGGCATGATGCCCCGACGGAAGGGCCCAGGGCAGGGCTGGCAGAGCAGTCCTGCGTGGATCACAGTCTTCTGATTCCCTTTCCTCTTCTTTCTCAGCTCTCACACCTCAATGCTTTTTTTCTTGAATAGTGACTGACCAGGTTACTTCACCTCTCTAGTCCACTGTGTAACATTAATGAGAGTGACAGCTGACCTGTATCAAACACTTATTTTTCTATGCCATACACTAAACTAAGGCCCTTCACCCTAGCCAGGCCATATTTCCCCCTAATTATAAGGACAACCATTCCCCCAGAGAGGTTTTTATCCTATCTTCCTCATTAGACTGTTTTTGATTGCCTTATCTCTAGAAGCTGGTACCATACTTACAACACAGCAGTGCAAGAGAAATGCATATTGTGGATGAACAAAGAAATTAATGCTTTCATTTCATAACACTTCTCAAGTGCCCCGATTCACAAATGTGACTACACAAGTTTCAGATTTACTTGGGATCACTATCAAGGCAGTGGTGGGACTGGGATTTGTCTGAGTTCCTGTGTTCTCCTCACTCTGATGGCCCATCTTGTCCCATTAGTCCCTGTTATCTCTGCCCACAGAAAACCTGGCCTCCTTGATGCAGCGGTGGCTTCTACTGGCGTTTCCTGTGATCTGGTCCCAAAGCACTCTTGCTCATCAGCAATCACCAGGTGCTGTCAGCGGGTACTGCTGTTAACCCATCACACGCTAATGGCTCCTCTGCACTCAGTTTCTATTTATTTATTGATTGATTGAAGACAGGGTCTCACTATAAAGTTCACACTGGCCTTGAACTCACTATGTAGCTAGGCTGGCCTTCAATGTGCAGTGATCTTCCTGACTGCTGGGATTACAGGCTTGCGTTACCATGGCTGGCACCTTTGCTCAGTTTCAAAAGAAAAGTACTTCCCCAGCCTCCACAATGGGTCAGAAGCATGCACTTGCAAGACTGAAAGAGGTCCTCATTTTGACCTCAGGCAAATGAGGCTCAGTGACACCAAGAGACCTGATCTAAGCAGGCAGGTAAAAGGGCCAGTGTTTTTTTTTTTCTTTTCTTTTTGAGACAGGGTCTCACTATGCAACTCAGGTTGGTCTTAAGCCCACTATGTAGCCCAGGCTGGTCTCGAACTTGCAACAATCCTCCTGCCTCAGCCTTGCAAGTGCTGGGATTACAGGCCTATGCTACCATGCCCGCCTAAAGGAGCCAGTTTTAAACCCAAGATGTCTAGCAGCAGGCCCCATATTCTGGGTCACAGCTGTGGCTAGGGTCCCTGAAGGAGGGTGAAGTAGCCTGAGGCTACCAGCTGTCTGAGCCAATTCAGGGGTCCAGCTGAGAGGAACTAGGTGCCACAGGAAAGGATGTGAGGAAATCCAGGAGGGAAAGTGAAACCCTTCCGGCCTGGCTTCAGCAGGGAACAAGCTTCTGTGCCAGACAGCTCTTCCTTCCTCTTGGGTGACTCCGAAGGGCTTGGGCCCACCACTTCCTTCCTGCTTGGTTATTTCAGGAAAGAGGTAGATGACAAAGAGGAAGGGGCTCCTAGCAGTCAGGGAAAGTGTCACGGATGTCAGGACTGTACCCTGTCCTGGCTCTGTCACAGCCCTGCACAGGCAGGTCCTGGTTACTTGCAGAGTCACTTTGGCCTCAATTTCCCTAGGGGCGAAGTTGATAAATGTGGGCTGAGCAAACAAACAAGGCCTTGTTAGGAGATCCTGGGAGCAGCAGGAAGGGGGGCTGGGGCAAGCAAGAGGCCTTATCGCTCTCTGGGCAGGCGAGGGTCGGAAGAATGAGGTTTGTGGTTGGTATCCACTTCCCTTGGCTTTCCTGGGGGAGCTGCTGGCCTCTACAATGTGAGAGGAACAAGCCTTACTTCTCGAGCTAGGGACACAGCTGGACTCAGGCAACTTGGAGAAGCAGCTCAGTGGGACAGAGGTAAAGGGATAGGTGCCAGGCTGTGCTGGCTGAGATGCCTCTATTCGGCCAGCCCATGGTGGGTACCACAGTAAGCCTTTTGAATCGGGAAGCCTCAGTTTCTCCTATCTGCACCTCACAAGGCAGTGGTGCAAGATGAGGGCTAAAGCACTTGGTAAAGCAAGGTGACCTTGGTGTTACTGGCGGAAGCAGGTACCCTGAGGGGTCCAAGCCACCTGGGGTCCGGGAATCTTTGGAGGCATTCCCCTAGCACAATGCTCATCTTCCTCCAACTCTGCCCATCAGCTGCCAGCCTCTCCTCCCCCGCCTCCACCCCCAGCATTAGTTCTAAGAAGCCGAGTCTGACAGATGTGCTCATTTCTCAGAACAGGAAGTGGTTGTGCCGGGAGGAGATAACACCTCCGCTGGGGAATCGAGAGCACTATCGGGCCCTGCAGCGTGAGTGTCTCCCCAGCTGGCTCAGAACCTGGCAACCATTCAAAAGGCATTCACCGGGGCCGAGGTGCTCAATGGGCCTCACGACTTCTTGCTCTGGGAGTGCTGGTGACGCAACAGCTGGTATTTACTAGGTAGGTGCTTTGTGTGGAAGAACATTGTTGTTTCTCATCATAATCCAGGGAGTAAGTGCTGTTCCTACTCTTTAAATTACAGAGGAGGACACAGCAGAAAGGTATGGTTACCCCCAAGGTCGCAAGACACATCAGTGGTGGAGCCCATCATTCCTGAGTCCTGGGCAGCAGCCACCTGTTTCTGCATAGCTCCTGCCCCTGTCTCAGCCCTCTCATTCCATCCCTGGTGTCCCGATCCTTTCACAATAGATGCCCAGCACTCCACTCTTCTGTCAGTGTCCAGGAAGGGAAGGACCAAGGTGTGCCTTCAGAACTAAGTCAAGAGTGACCTTTCTATGCATGCATCAAACTTTCCACGTGACACCTGCCCTACACTGGAACTTAACCCAGGGACTTCCGAAAGGTGGAGGGCCAAGGTCCCACAGCAGGCCCAGGCCACTCCAGAGGGTCCACTTCTGTGGCAGTTCAGTCATCTCTAAGCACTTGCTGCCTGTTCCTCTTTCCTTTGGAGGAAACATTTGTCTTTTGGCGGTGCTGGGGATGGAACCCAGAACACATGCATGCTTGTGCTTTATCAGTGAGCTACATCCTCAGCCCTTTAAAGTTTTTATTTTGCTTAGGCTGGCCTAGAACTTGTGATCCTACAACCAAGCAGCTGGGATTACAGGTGTGCGCCACCGCACTCAGCTAACATTTTACCACTGGACAGCCCCAAACTGGAAAACAGCTCCCTATTAGAGAGCTGAAGCCTTGCTCCCCCGCCCTCCAACGAGGCTGCCCCTGGTTCTGGTCTTCTCTCTTCTGCTGCTTCTCTTGGGAGTCTGCCCAAGAGCTGCCCAGGAAGGCAACACAGTCAGCAGAAGCTTGCTGGCAGTGCCATCCTCTCAGCACCAGTATCCTCCTCTGGAAACAGATGTGCTATGTGGATGAGGACTGACTCCTCATTTCTCTTCCAAGCAGGCTACCAGAGCTATACGTTTTGCAGCTAGACTAAGACATTTGGCTTTCGTCTTCATCTATAAAATGGTATAAAAAATGACCTTATTTCAAGCTAGGTATGTGGCACATGCCTGTGATCCCAGCACTTGGGAGGCTGAGGCTGAGGCAAGAGTATCACTGGGATTAGGCCAGCCTGAACTACATGGCAAGACCTTGTTTAAAAAAGGGACCTTACTTTAAAAGAAAAAAATACTGAAAGGATTCCACAGTAACACGTGTAAAAGGTCACAGTAAACCAAGTAAACGCCAGTTATCACTATCATTCTCATTATTAGACCATGGCTCAGCTTGAGTCTCAAAGTTTCCCTTGGCCCCTCCCGTGACCTCCTCAGCTTCATTGAGGGCCAGGCTGCTTTGCTCCTCATAGGCTGGCTTCTGTAAGCCTCAGGACCTTTGCCCGTACTGGTACCTCTGCTGAGCTCTTGCCTATTTATTGTAGATCTCAGTCCATAGGCCACTTCTTCAAAGAGGCCAGCTGCTCGCTTGATCGCCCACAGGCCTAGGCCAGTACTGGACCCAGAAAAGGTGCTAAGAGGAAAGGCCAGCTGCCCTTCTCCATCCCTATCCTGACTGCCTGGCCAAAGTATGAGAAGGCCTCAAGAGAGCAGAAAACTGGGCAAGGCAGCTGGTCTTTGGACACCAAACCCTCCATGGCTCAGGAAGGAGAGTGGGAAGCTTATAGGAAAGATCCAGAAAATTCCTCTACTGTACTTCGCTGAGGCAGCTAGTAGGTGGCCTTAGGTAACAGCCTACTAAAACTGGGAGCCACCTCTCTCTAAAACTCTGCTTCCTGCTGGAATCTTTGCTTCTAACTGTTCCAGGGCCCAAAGCAGCTTCTCCCTCTCCTTCCCTCTTCTGGAGCTGGATGCTGTTAAGGAACAGCAGTGGGCTGACAGTTTCCCGGGTCCATCACCAGTTTGTCCATTCCCCTGCCTGGGACTGCCCCTCTCTGTGAAATGTAGGAAATTGTCTTACAGGGCTCCGGCTAAGGCTGCAGCACCAGGGGGAAGATAAAAGTAACTCAAATTCCCAAAGACAAACATGGGAGCAACTACCTGGCTTCAGCCTCTCAGGGGTATTCAAAAGATGCAGTAATTAGCATGTAAGGTGAGAAGCAACATTCCAGAGCACAAGGACTTGTGGCCACTAAAGATCCTCCTCCACTCCCCAGCCTTCGGAGCCTGCCCTGGGTCCTGCAGGAAGCTGGGGAAGAAGCCAGCTCCCAAGCTGGTGGAATGGTCAGACCTCGCCAGGGCAGCGCCCCAGTGGCCTCAACCTCTTCACTCCAGCACCGCTTCTAACTAGTCCAGACAAGTCCTGGGTATTTTCAGCTACCTTTATCTGATCGGAAATGTTTGGAATTCCAGAGAAGGCAACAGCTCTAGAGGATTTGGGGTTGGGTGCAAATCGTTACAAAACCCTTCTCTTCTCTCCTCTACCCACTACCTCCTAATACCCTGCCCCCCCCAAGGTAACCAAAACTCAGGGCCCAGGTCTCTGGTCTGGTTGCATTTCCTGCAGTCCAGTTCCTTCAGTTTTTCCTTTTCATCTCCACTCCTGTGCACTCCCCTCCTCCAGGTGGAGAACTTCGGCACCTGTGATGGTGCTAGGAGGGAAGGTGTACACTGTCTGCAGCTACCCAACACGGGCCACCAGAGCACCAAAAATCACAGAAGAATATCATTCATCATCGCCACCAGGACATCCAGCAACTCATGTCCCACCTGATGGGACAAATCTTACAGCATCATGATCTGTGTTTCACTGAGGCTCATCCCTTCCCTGAACAGATGGGACACTGAGACCCAGGCCCTCTGCCCTCTGTGTTCCAGCTACACTGAGAACAGGTGTGCCCACTTCACAGGCTTGGCAGCAGGATTAAAGGGTCGACAGGAGGTGCTCAATACATGTTAGCTGTTCTTACTTATTTTAATAACAGTAAGTGACTTCCTTGGTGCTTCTCACAGTGCCCCTTATTTGTGGTATAAACATCACTACCAACAAAAAGCTATTATTTGCTGAGTTAATGTTTACAGGTTGATTCCTCAAATCTTTTTTTTTTTTTTCTTTTTCTTTTGAGACAAGGTCTCACTATGCAGTTCAGGCTTTGAACTTACTTTGTGGCCCAGGGTACACTCAAACTCACAGCAATCCTCCTGCCTCAGTCTCCTGTGTGCTGGGATTACAGGCGTGCACCACTACAGCTGGAAATTCCTCAAAATCTTGTAAGTAGTGTCATCTCTTTTACCAATGAGGAAACCAAGACTGAGAGAAGTAAGGAGACTTACTGAGCTCACTGATTACTAGTGTGGAGTGTGGCTCTGCAGCATGTGTGATCGGCCCACGCAGTGGAACAGATGAAGAGGAGCATCCCAAAGTCCTTCCTTCGGCTGTCCCTCTCCCTGCAAGTATCCACTGAGCATGTGCTACTCTTGGGCACTGCAAGTTGGAGGTAACTCTGAGGAGAGAAGCAGCTGCCTGGGTCCCTGGGTGCCCGCTGGGGGAGGTTCTGCTGATAGCTGCTCTGTGCCTGACGCCCTCCTCTGCAACCCAGCCCTAAGGCCAGCACTTGTGGAGAGATATCTCCTTCTATCTGGTCATAATCTTGAAAATGAAAATGTTGCCAACTGCTCTCATGGCCTGTTACATGAGTTGTCCAAATGCACATGGCCTCTCTGTAACCCAGGCTGGCCTGAGGAGTTGCAGAAAGGTCCAGACAGGCTGTCCTGATTAGCTTCGGACACCTGTTTATTCATTAACTCCTTACTAAGTGTCCACTAAGTGTCAGGCACAGTGCTAAGTGCTGCGGGTAAAGCAAGAGCCAGATTAAATGAAAATTCCCATCTGTGTGAGTTTATAACACAATGAGAAGAGACAAGTAATAAACCAATGTGTCAGTTGGTCATAAAGTGTTAAAAAGAAGAGTAAGTGTGAGAAGAAGACAGAGAAAGATGAAAGAGGGCAGAACTAGAACTTGTGGTCAGGGAAATATTGCAAAGATCTGGGAAAAAGCAATGAGAGCAAGTGCAAAGGCTCTCTGGCAGACATGTTAGAGATATTCCAGACATGAAAGATAC